TAGGGGAATAATTACCCAATACGGTGATCATAAGAAATACGGTATCCCCTAGATGACACTTAGTTACCGCAAGCGAGGAATTAGAGGCAAGAAAAGTTCATCTATGGGAAGATACACGGCAATTCCCTTTAATGAAGAAGCTAAACTCGCCGAATGTTTAATCACAATGGAAAAATGGGGGTGGGGGTTAACACGACGTGACATTTTTAATACTGTTAAGTAATATGTCACTAGAAATAACCTTAAAACACCATTTAAGAATGGGCGACCGGGAGAAGATTGGTTTTTGAGGTTTTCCAAGAGACATCTGTATCTCTGTATCTGTAATGTGTGGAGGGTGGGTTACCCCACGGCACTTAGGCCTCATTAGGCCCATTGTGCATCCTCCTGAGAAGATAGGTACCTCCTAGCTCGTGAGCCAGCCTACAGATTTAATGTAGTTGACAACGTCGCCAAGAGGTGCCTCTCTTATATCGGCTGGTGTTAGCCGATACTCGCCGAACACAAATCTTCCAATAAATGAGAGCGTCGGGCAATCGTAAAGGATATGCTCGATGGTCGCATCTTCTTGTTCGCACCCTCTGCAGAGTGCGGATTCTGACAGCGCCATGATATGGAGATGCTTTCGTACTTGGCAATGACCAGTCAGAATGTCTGTGACTAGGTGCATATTCTGTCTAGTCATAGTCAAGTATTTATTTGCTGCAGTGTTGTCAGGATAACTTAAGAGCTCCCTGGAAACTCTGCAGTTTCTTGTTTCATCCCATCTTTCCTTGAATTTTACAAGGGAATGTTCTTTGATTAGGTCTGTCACTACCGATTTTGTCAGGCCAATAGAAAAGCCGGGTCCAAAAAGTATTTGGTTGGCTAGTTTCTTGGCTAGTGAATCAGCAAGACGGTTACCTTTCGATGTGGCGTGACCTTTAATCCATCTTAAAGTGACCACGTTGTTGATGGATACTTCGGCCAAAACTTCGTGACATTCTAGTACTAACCCTAAATAAATTCGTGGTCTGTTCAGGGTGAGTAGTGCTTGTCTGCTATCTGTATAGATGAGCATGTTCCTTCCAGTGATATTGTTTCTGATTTTTTCTTTTGCTGCTATGAGAATTCCCGTTAGCTCTGTTTGAACTACACTGGCACTATTGTTCACAGCCCATTTTATGTTTGGGTTTAAGAATCTGGAGTATATTCCACATCCTGAGCATTGTTTTGTGTTAGAACCATCGGTGTAGATATGAATCGTACCTGCCACTTCTGGCTCTTCTTTCCAAGACACATAATTTGTCATTAAAAAAACCTCAATCGGTGGAATACGCAAGAAAAAATGTTTGGATCCTTTTATTATAAATAATTATTTTGACCTATTGAAGAAACAGACGAATTTAGCTTACACGATAAACCGCGTCAAATTTGGAATCTAGATGAAACTAAAGTGGTGGAAAAACGAGGAGCACCTTCATTGCGAATAACTGCTGGATCTGGAAGGGAAAATACCACTGTACTGATGGCTGTTAGCGCTGATGTATTTAAAGCTCCCCCATTGATCGTGTTTAAAGCAAAAAACATATGGGATGACTGGACTGCTCCTTCCACAGACGAATACCCAGGAATTTCATATGCCGTGAGAGCCAATGGATGGATGGAATCCCAATTGATCTTAAATTACTTCGAAAAAACTTTATTAGAAGTATTTGGATGGTCACGTGTCTCTCGTCGATGGCAGACTAATAAAAGTTGCCCGCGATAATAAAGTAACAGTCCTTAAGCTTCCGCCTCATTCATCTCACATTTTACAGCCCCTAGATTTAAGCTTTTCAAGACGTTAAAAGTAAAGTGGGATCAAACACTTGTCCAATGGCAGAGACATAATGAGGGAAGAAAGTTACCCAAAAAGAAGTTTAGTTCATTAATAGGACAAATTTGGAAAGAAACAGAACCTGAGATAATTTGTAACGGTTTTATAAATGGTGGCATTTACCCTTTTATCTCTAACGTAGTTACCAAAGAAAAATATAATCCTGCAGCGTATAAGATATGGGAGTACCAATAACGTAATACTGATCAGAAATTGAATCAAAGTCACTCGCTACAGCCAGGTCTCTCTGGGAGAAATGTAGAAAAACCTGTAGACTTCCAAGAATTACTGTTGGCTACGGTTAAACAATCAAATCCTACTGAAAAGGTAAAAAAACGAAGAGTAGCTAAAGATCATAACAAATAATAAAGTTCAGTCTCACGGAAGGAAGCAAAATTCAAAACTTTGAAGAAGAGAAAATTGGGGAAAACTCAAATGAAAATATTATATTTAATGACAGTGATGACGATATAGAGAAAGAAATTAGAGAGATGGAAGAACTTGATGCATGCATGACGGAAATAGATAAACCTTTGACAGATATAGATGAAGGTCACCCAGTCACCTTAGTGGCTTTATTAGGAAAAAAAATAAAAAAATACTATGTTGGTCAAGTTATTAAGGCAAAGAAAGATGAAGAAGAATTGGAAATTAAATTTACCAAAAATGTACCTTACCTTACCCTCTTCAACTTTTGCGTGGAAATATCCAGATGAATGTGCTATTATTGTTAGAGAGGATATAACACTAACCCTTCCTAAACCGACCTTTATGAAACGTGGTCTAATACGGTTTGAACTAAATTTTTCAGCTTATAATACACAATAAAACTATAAATGTTTATAGCATATTAAACATCATTCTTCTAAGACTTACACACATGTCCCTGACCTCTTTAAATGCATAAATAAGCAAAATATACACTAAGTACACACTTGGCCCCACTTCAAGGAGTAAGTGTGTAGTACATACCTTGTTAAAAAAAGCACAAAATGAAAAGTTTTAACATTTTAATGATTTTGCTACTACCTCATATTAGGAAAACAACAAGTAAAGTACTGATGTCAAGAAATTTATTTATTTTCTTTGGTTGAATTTTTACGAGTACATATAAATAAACTTGCATAATTTTACTAAACTCTTATCACATCTTACCTTACAAGAAGAAATTATTTTTGAAACTTTTGCTGAATAAGAATAGGTTAAGTGTTACTTTTTCTTTTGTTTCTTTATATGTGCATTCAATAAAATTAATATCAAATTAACCTAATCCTAATCCCATAAACTCTCTCGGATAACGTGACACTAGTAAGGTCAGTTTTGTACGATAAAATTATAAAAAAAATTCCTACAGCATTATACAGGAATTTGATTTTGGTCATCTGACAACATTGGTGATCAAGCAGGAGAGTAGAAGAGTGTAAGAACGCTCTCATGAGTTCGAGAATAGGGTACCTGGTAGTGTTGTGAAATATTCATTAGCGTTTTATCAGACAGCTGACCACTGATACAGTCAAATAATATGCTTGTTGTGCTTGCGCTATTAATAAGGAATTTAAATTTTAATTTATACAAAATGATTTTTTTAAATAATTATAATTGATCTGAAAGGGAATCACCTCTTTAACCTAATGAAAACTATTTTAAACCTCCAAGATAAACCAATTAAAAAAGAACCTGTCTATGAAGGATTTATACTCTCTACTTCCCTATTTTAGGCACACTGTCTTACCAACTTAGTTATCAGAACATCAGATATCCAATGTTCTGATAGCCGAGTTAATATGGCAGCGTGCTTAGAACTAGAAGGATGTGAAGGATTCAAATACTTCCCGGGACAGTTTTAAAATTGTTCAATATATTTGTCTTCACTTTTGGCATTCAACAATAGATTTCATTAAATCATGAAGGTTATTATTCATATATAAAATGGTTTCCCAAGTGTAAAAACTATTTTTTCTACGATCACTATCCAAAGTAGGCTTTTGCACATTCAAATCTAACTGGAAAGTTGGCGTTTTCCATGAATTGTCTTAGTTTGACATTATTGCCGCATATAGGCGGAGAGTTACTTTTTACACACGCCTATTTTTTGATTAGAAAATTTCATTAAAAAGGTTATTATGAAGCTAATCGGTATTTTAAAAGAAAATGCAGACTAATTTGAATCTTTTAGTTGAACATTTAATACTCAAACTCATTTTCCTTAATATTTAAATGATTAAAAATAAATTACCCTGTTTTTAACACTCATATTTAATATGTATTGTTAGTGTAGAGCCTAGCGCGTTCGTCGTTGAACCTGATAGTCGTGAGTTCAATCCACACCAGTTATTTATTTTTTTTTAATTTAATTTTTTGTTTGTAAAATTAAATAAAACTTAAAACACTGTATAAGCCATTAATTTGCGATTTGAGTATTCTAACCGATGATCTTGTAAGTTATCATTAAGATGTACTTACTAAAAAATATTTTTTATGCTAATCATAAAATTAATCTTCAAGTAAGCAGGCAACACAATATACACACAACATACCAGTCAATTTGCCAGTCAAGTTAGCCGTGTCTGTCAAATTAACGTAGTAAGATTTGAATTCGGCAAAATAAAACTATATTCTAGTAATTTTAGTGTCGCAGTTGAGGTATAGAATCGAAAAAGACTTTAAACTTATGTTTTATTTTAATTTATGCGAGTAACTTTTACAATTATTACACACTCAAGACATATGACATATATATGAAAAATTGACACTTATGATAGACAGGTTAACCAACCTCTACAAAAATAGACGAACTAAAAATTAGATTTGCCATTGTGCGAATAGATGTCGCTACTTGTATATTTGACATATATACTTTTAATATCGTGTGATCGTAGAAAAAATATTGCGTGTAATTCGAGCGGAAAGCTATTTGCCGCTTACGATAAAATGTCGCACTGCGTTGCACACGCACTGCGCTTCGCGACGCGCTGCATCTTTTTATCTTAAGCCGCAAAGTAGCACTTTCTGCTCCTAATACACAAATAGCTATTAACAGAACGTGATTTAATTATTTTTAACTAAAATAAAAAGAAAAGTATTCGCGGTTGTGTCATTACTATGTGTAAGATATTGTATTTGGAATGAAATGATAACTTACATTGTTCCTTTACCTACAGTCATATTTAAATCACTCAATACATTGTTCGGTTTTTTCTTGGAGCCATAGTGTTTGTACGCGTGCCTAACACTGACAGCCTGCTGCCTTCTGTTCCATACTGTAGACTGCTGATGCATCAAGGGCGGCCTTTCTACATTTACACCCACTAAATCGGGCCCAGGGGCTGTGGGATCTACCCGTTCACCCATTGTTACACCTTCACTGAAAAGAAAAAAAAATATATAAATATATAAGTTCATCTTAGTAGTATATCACAGGCTATACCAACAAATACGAGATTTTGAAAATTTTAAAGCTTTACCACAAATCGGGATCTCTTTTATTACTAAATTCGACTGCCTTGAAAATTTAATTAAAGATGACAAAGTAGAGAAATTAAAGTTATTGTTATTTGTATTATAATTAAGTGTGGAAGCAGAGTTAGAAATTATGAATTATTTATACCTTCACACATGATTCGACTGTAAAGTAATAAAATAAATTGTAAAATAAATATACATGGTACATGGTAATTGATTTAAACAGAATTACAATGTTAGCAACGCAGAATTTTATATTTCCAGAAGAAGTTTCTGTTTTTATATTTAACCAATTTACAATTGAAAATAATATGACATAGTTGAACAGAGTTGGAAAAATAATATCGTAATAATGATTTTACAGTTATTTATAACCTAGGTTCACTTATTGCAAATATTAATTGTGATTTTAGCTAATTACCATAACAAGAATATTTACTTAAAATGTTTATCAGCTCGCACTCTACATGTTCATCATCAAGCACTTTATACTGTTTATTTTATTGATAAATGGAGTTTTCAGTGCCAACTAATCTGACAAATATATTTATTATTATATTGTTAGCTTTTGTTTTCAATGAGAAAAATTTCTGTAGTGTTACTATTGCTAAAAAAATTTGTACACACAAAAATTACTAAAAGAAAGGGACCGAGCCTAAACTGAAATTATTCTGCAAATATCATTTACTATTATTAAATTAATTACAGCTTTGTCCACCCTACATTTAAAAGCAGATGAGATGGTTTCTTACAAGCATTAAACACAACCACGAGCAGGAAAAGTCAAAGGGTTTTACTAAAAGGACATACATTATTGAAAAAAGGGTTTGCTACAGGAAGTTATTAGTACTAAATACAATCATTTTAAAGAAGAAAAAGTACCCTTTGATGCATCTTTGCCTCAGAAATACTCTGAGGTATCCCTTGCTGAGGATTTCAACTTTACAAAAGAGCTCTACTAAAATAAACCTAAGATATGGTATTTTAAAAGATGTTGTGAGAATCATGGGCATTTCTGGAATTTTGAAGACTTAATTGCAGATAATAACAGTTTCTTCAATTTTACCAGAAGGAATATAAAGTAGTGGGGCCCCACAATTACATTTTATTTAAATACTGTAAGTATATATAATGTTAAATCTCCTCTGTGTATTGTATCTGTTATTATTTAAACAGTATTTTTAATAATAGTGATTATCAACTGCGTTAGGCTTTCATACATTTGTAAAAACTTCTTGTTCAAATGTAAAAATAAATAAAATTTAATTTTTTGCTTGCAAAAAATTATAAATATGTTACCTATGTACTAACCCCTATTTAATTTAGTTAGGTAACCTTTTTAATTTATGTAAACATCATGGATAATAAAACAGTTTTCCCTTAATTGGGTACCTATTTGTGGATTAGTATATAATAGAACTGGATTGCTGTTGTTGTTTTATAGCAAATAACTAGAAACTGACAATAGTAGTTTGTGCAACAAGAGTGAATATGAACAATCTACTCGAGTTGTACAGTATATTTTTTCTACGACCTATTAACGAAAATCTACAAATATTAAAAATTATATTAGGCTATTAAGATAATAGGAATTAATTTAAAAATAATTTATGACTTTTAATAATTTATAAAATAAAATAAACAAAAGAAGAAGAAAAGGAAAAAATTTTATTTTATTTTTCTCAAAGCACTATCATTTTGCACGCTTCAGATTTCGTAAAACTTTACTTCACGCACTAGTGCGTAAAGAGTTTTTATTTAAGCACTGAGTGCGTAAAGAAAATTATCAAATTTAAGTATATTGACCACAGAGCCACAAGTTTTAGTATTGACAGTTCTTATTATTAAAATAATAATAATAAGTATATTAAATATTTAATTTAATTTTTTTCAATTTAATCATATATTTTTATAGTTTCAATCCAATTTAAATATTATATTAATAAAAATTATTGTGAAATCTTATTACCTGTTGACGAAAATTATTTAAGTTTCTAACGATCCAGCTAAGTTGGCTTATGGATGACTGACACTTCTTTACTTAATTTGACATTTTAACTTTAAAAATCAAGAACAATATCAATATTCAAAAATATTAGAAATTATTTGAATTCAGCAAATACATATTAGTGAATATAATATTAAATTAAATAATAATAAAAGTTACAAAAATTGTAATTAAAGATTTCTACAATTCTGCTAAGCTGGCTGTGATTGACTGACATTTAGTACGTGTTGTGAGATATTTATTAAATTTTTTTATTCTATTCGACATTTAAACTGAAATAAGGTAAGTAAAAATATATCTATTAAATATTTAGGTAAATATTATGATAATATTGTAGATGTTTTCTTCAGAAAACAAAACAGGCATCTATACAAACTTCATTTTAACAATGGATTCATCTAATTCTGATGATTAGGTATTTCGAAAATACTCCACCGAATATATTGGATGCAGCACAGGATGCTTCGAAAGATTTATTGCCCCAAAAATCTGTATAATAAATATACTATAAATAACAAATAATAACTTGTTAGTTCTAATTATAATTTGTGACAAATAATTTTTTTTTATTTTAGATTTTTACTTGGATATGATAACAATCTTAATTTAAAAGTATGTTTATTTTAATAGTGGTAGGAATTTTGAATGGTATATGGTGGTAAGTAGACATATTTTATGACCAAAATAAATATTTTAATGATAATTTATAAGACATTAAAATATAATTTTAAAGGATGAATGGTATAATTGGCAGTTAAAATGTAATCTTAGTTTTAACTTTGAACCTCGTTATATAATCATCGGTTAGTGTTAAACAATTTTAAAAATGACATTTGTACTTCCAAAGGGAAGGTTTGTACAAAGAATACTGTAAACTTAGTTTAGATGACATGAGTTTAATTTTTATTTGATTATATTCAAAGTGCAAATGTCATTTTTAAAACTGTTTAACAATAACCGTTGATTATACAACTGCCTAATGTAAAACTCGCTCTTACCAGTCAAAAATTAAACTCCTGTTAGCTAAACTGAGTTTACAGTAGTAATGCCGCGAGACAAGACGCGACGAGAGAGTGGCCTCTCTCGTCTCGTCTCGTAGGGCGAGAGAAAACTGTTCTGTCGTCTTGACCAAAAGGCTCTTGACCAAGAGAGCCTTTCTCTCGTCTTGTCTCGTCTCTTCTCGTTTCTCTCGTGATAAAACAATATCAAATTTAAATTTGAAAAAGACGAAACATGAAAAAACGGTAAAATTGGTAAGACAAAAACAAAGAATTTTTCAAGTAATTTGCGCATTAGTACCCAAATTTGGCAATAAGAAACACTTATGTCTCTCGTCTGTCCGTCTGTCACAGTCGTTTTATAATTGAAATTTGAAGTAATGAGTGGCCCAGATTAGGCGTTAACTAAAAACGAAAATACTTTGTCTTGTAAGTCAGTTGGGGAGGGGGGGAAGAGGTTAAATTGGAAGTTAAAATTTTTCTAATGCAATCCTGCGATGTAAAATGAAAGCATTTTGTAGTATGTTTTCAAAATGCAAAAAGATAGAGACATAAAACAAAAACGATGTGAAATTAGAGAATTTTTATGATATTTTTGTTATAATGGGATGCACTTTACTTGAGACGTAAAATAGAGGGCGTTACTATCTTTAAATTTTCTAATGGAAAGTAAAGTCATGTATAACCTCATTTGAAAGATATTTTGATTATATTTACGTCCAAGCAGTTTTAATTTGTTTTGTTTTTACAAAAATTGCATTCTTGATAATCGTCGTGTGCCGCAATAATCCTAGAAATGTTAGATAATGTTAGAAGATAATTTTTTAATAAGCTTTTTTTGCTAAGAAGTTATGAAAAATTTAATACGTCAAGTGGTTTTTTAATCACCTTTGATATCCTTGATTTATTTATTTTATTAAATACAAGAAGCGTTTCCTTAGTAATAAACAATAATTGTTAATACGAGAATTACCAAGAATGTAATTTTTTAGTAAAAGCCCAGAACATGTCTGTATAAGAACAAAGTACCAGCTACAAAAAATTGCCATTTGTGCAGTGTTAAATCCCTCTAAAATTTATAAAAGATACTGACATTTACTCTGTACTAGCCAAAATGTTAATTATCCATTGTTTACTATTGTAAAAAACAGCGTTTATAAGGTGATGATCCTTTGAGGTTGAACCGTTAAATAAAAAAAGAATATAACCTACTCTATGAACTTATTTAATGTAATTTCTGTATAAACATAAAAACCTAAATCTGTTAACATGAACGTAAAAATATAGAAAAAATATTTCAAATGAGGTATCACATGACCCTACTTTCCATTTGAAAATTTAAAGCTAGTAACTCTCTCTATCTTACGTGTCTCAAGTAAACTGCATCTTGTTATAACAAAAATATAATATCTCTTGAGTTTCATCTCGTTTTTGTTTTGTCATTATTTTTTTTCATTTAGAAGTTAAAATGGAGGAGGATACAATTTTCGTCCTCACTGTATATAATACATTCGTTTGTATTACCTTTTCTTAGACACTTTTTCGAAAAAACGCACAAAAATTTTCAACTTATCTTCAAAAGTAACCTCAGAAAAGCAGAATGGATTAAATATAAAAAATGATTGCATAAATTTTAAATAAATGAAATGAGAAATATTTTTTTCTTATAAATCACTATTTATAAAATCCTAATAACACAAGTATCATTTGTTACCATTTATTATATATAGAATAGGTGTGTTATAGTCAACTTTTTGACTATCTCGAAAACTAATATGTTAAAATTTTAAGTTAGGATAAGCAATTGAAAATTTCAAATAAGCAAAGAGAAAATTGTTCTAGAGAGCCCGAGAGAGCTCGAGAGAAACGAGAAATTCTCGTCGAGAGATGACACTC